TGCTGCTTTAGGCTATGGTTTTTCACTACTGTCTACTGTGTTATTAACAATTCTATATAAAGATTCCCTCAAGTTTTCCTTTCCGGTGTGTTAACAACCCTTCGAAGCTGCTATGAAGTTGTTGAGGGCGAGACGGAGCCCTTGACAGCATTACACCATTAATCGTATGTCATAATTTCCAAAAACGCTACTTTACTTCTTTTTTTTCTGAGCGACATCACTCATTGTCATGGCTGGTGGCCAGCGAGAGACGAAATAGGTCGACAACACAAAGAGAAGTCCTAGATCTCTCGCTTTCACTCCCTGTTCTCAACTCTTAACCCTCTAAACCTCCATTTTTCTTTAGCAACAGCATCTCTCTTTTTTTCTTCTCTTTCCATAACTACTCCTTTTTCCTCTGGGCGATTCTTTAACCGTAGACAACAGCATTTCAAGACCTAAAACCGTGGCATTACCACTGCACTTTCTTTCACACTCTTGGCCCATTGTAAATGATCATGAAGCTCATCATTAGCTCTCAAAGAGGAAGAATGAGCCACGGTTTGATCACCTCGGTGGCTCTGTGGGCTCCCGCAGTCTCTGCTGACAGAATTGGACGCAGCCGATTACAGCCCTTTGCACAGGCAATTATATCTGCGTGCTAAATATGTCACACATAATAAACACATGCTCCTGACAGAGAAGGGACAAGTGGAGACAGTCACAGCTGGGAGGGAAGAGGAAAAAGAGCACATATACAGGTCTGCACGGATTTATTAACCCCTGTCTTCCTCAAGTGGAAATGTCTCACAGTTCAAATTGTTGCATGTCGGTGAATTGATGACACCAGAGCTGAAGGTGATAAATCAAAGATCTGCTCATAATAGCAACCCAAAGTATTCTGATTTATAATCTCCTAAAATAATTATATTGATCTGCATCCCCAGAAAAAAAAGAAAAAACACTCCTTTTTCATGCTGGCCCTCCGGGAGCTTCTGGTCGTTCTACTTTATATACAGCGTTAGTGTTAGTGTGTTAGTCTGGGCTTGAACCATTAATTGGACTTTTATGTGGGCTTCGTCCCATCAGGCCGCGGTGTAAACATGGCACTGACCCAAGGCCGATAATATTTGTAAAGGGTATTCAGTCAAAACAAGGGAGGGAAAGGGCCTAAAATCCCTGCCAAGGAGTTTATACCATGGGCCATGTTGTTTGCACAGGACATACCTCAGGAAGCTCGGACAACTGGGAATGTTTGTCCAGCTTCCAGCCCCTTCTATGGCTGTATACTTACATACAGTACATACACAGCACAGTGCATACACAGCACAGCGGTCATGCATTCATATAGTACATAAAGTAGGTCTGCAGTATGGATGCTGTATTCATATAATACCGCTGTGATTATTGATTATTTGGATTTGTTTACTATTCGGTAATCGATGGAATGTGATGAAATAGAACACACATGGACTTGGAATTTTAAACTAACAGTCAAAACTGACAGCTACAAAATTACAATTGTATAAAACTGAGAGATTTTTTCTCTCAATTCATCGGCTCAGATCTTAAACATACAGTCGCACTTGAAAAGCGCATTCCTTACTATCCCTATACATTGGTTCACCTGAAACTGGGCCGGCCTCAGCAAAATATGTTGCTTTCCCTATTGTGCTCTGGAAGTGGCTTCTTTTCTCTTCCACTGCCTGCTATAAAACAACAATTGGGGGTCACTTTGACTTCTCGTGTTAAAAGCCATGATGGGAGCGCTCAAAGCTCCACTCATCTTTCCAGTGTAATTGAATTTAAACAGCTACGCAGACAGACAGACAGACAGAAAAGCTGCATTTTTTTAAAAACATTAATTTCACCATGCTGTCACATGACTTGTCCTTCCTTCTGAGTGTTTACAGCCATTAACAAACGTAATCAACATTAAACTAAACACCCAGGGGCCCACTCCGGAGCAGGTGCCTGCGCCGTTTCTTTTTCCTTCTTCATCTGCATTGAGAATGAGAATGCCATCGTACTGCCCCCATGGGAAGGCCCGGCCTGACGAATGTAAACACACTACAGTGGGGCTGGTCTTAATTACGGTAGCAGACGCTGGGGGCGGAGGGGGGGCGGGGGGGGGTTGCACTGGTACCACGAGGAAGTAGCTTAGCACTGCCAGGGCCAATAACACGGGTAACCCCCCCCTACCACCGGCATTACCACACACATACATTAAAACCGACGCTCTCATCAAACACTGCGTTTAATACATATTAAAAAAAATATTCATGGTCCTGTGTGTGGTCCATTTGGGTTGGTTGGAAGAACCACTTTTTACCCAGTCACCTAGATATATAAGAAATATCTGTGCCATGTGCAGGCAGTGGGACGCTGCCAATGTCCGAGCCAATTGCAGAATTGGAATCGGAATCCCTATTAAAAAGCTCCTCTGTGTGTTATGGCAGGCAGAATATGATTTAGCGGCTGTTTTGCTGTACTGCTGCTCGCCCTGTGTTACAGGCCCTTACTGTGGCATGCATGGCCTTCCTCTGCACTGGGCTATGAAAGCAATTGTGATTGTGATTCTGTAGTCAGCAAAACGGTTGAATGAGCCCGAGTTAGCTCTGCACGGACCCAACCACGCACACATATACACACACACACACACTGTCCCCATACCGGGCCGCTGATTACTTCAACCCATTTGACTCTCACTCATCCTCTGATTCGCCCTTCCTCCCCGTCTCTGTGTCACAAACCACAGAGTTTGTCATTAGCTAATAGCGACAGCTCAACTCAACATAAACATTAGGACGGGTTAATTCATCAGCCATGTGTAAAAAAAAACCTTTACGTTTAGCCAACAAAAATTGCCTCTGGTTTTTCAGGAGCTTATTTCACTTGAGGTGGAAACCAACTGAATATGTTAATAAATGACGTTATACAACTTTTGCAAAGAATAAAAGTAAACCAAGCCGTCCTGTAATAAAAAATGAAACCGAGATAAGGTGTTCAAATGAAGTACATCATCCCCCATCTTATCTGAGGCAGAGGAGCCCACCAACTAACAAAGCCAGCTCTTCAGTCATGTCCTATCTAGGCAGATATCAGTTGTTGGGAGATATATGAGCTGGGCGGGGCTGAGGCCAACTCTCTTTGCACTCTGTGCTGCTGCTGTGCTGTATGCAGCACCTCGCCTCTGCAGCAGTCAGCAATGTTTGATTAAGGTATTCAAATAAAGGCGCAGACACTGTGTTCCCATTTCACCGAGCAAACAAAGAGGCAGATAAACAACAATTACAGTTGTGCATGTAAGACAAAATGCATTTTTATACTTTGGGTACTTTCCACCACAGATAAAGTATTCATTTGTGTAGTATTTACAAACTATACATGAGTAATATGTACCCCATACCGCATGTACAGTAGCAGACACCATTAAAACATGGTCACAGTTGGAAATTACCATCAGAGCACAGAACTGTTCTTAAGTATTATTCTCTGTAATTTCAACTCGGCTGTGGGAAAGCCTCACAGAAATAAAATACACGTTACAGTATTAAAAGTATTGAAGAATAAATCTGCAGGGTTATTTATGGATTTTTTTCAGGATCATCTTATCATTGAAGAACTTTCTCTTTCTCTTTTCTGTTCTACACTGCTGACCTTCCCGGTTATTACACTCTTAGCACAAAGTAGTTTGTCCAGCAGAATAGTTCATGTTTCAGAAGGACCAGTCAGTGACAGGTTTTGGCTTGGTGAGGGTTTTTCTTTCCCCCATACAAAACATTTCTGTTAATCACAGACAAAGGTGGTAAAGTAACGGAAACTATCCAGAAGGCGAGTGGTGGTCACGCTAGTGATCAGCACATTAAATGAGGTGACAGAAAGAGTACATCCAGCACGCATAAACTAACATGACTGAAACACCAAATAGGCTCACAAATAAACAGCACATGCCATGTTATCCAATTAAGCTTTTATGTAAATCAGATTAACACTGTTAATTCAGAGTCGCTGAAAACCTCTCGGCTTTTATTGCTGTGAAATTATTTAGTTATTGTTTATGTAGTGATACTGAATCAGCCAGAAAGGGAAAAAAAGGCGCCTAACCTCGGCAGAGTTGCCAAATTTACACTTTTCAAATAACATTATTGCAAAATCTTTTTCTTGAAACTAGAAAGCAACGAACTCACCCAAAAACTAAGCTATACCCGGAAAAACATTTGCACTTAAGGGTCTGACAAGTATTCTGCTTCCATGCTGCTTGAGAAAGAGACCTGGGCACAATGTGACCACCAGGGCTGTCAGAGATGATTAGCAGCGGGCAGATCGGATCAGTAGATACAGAAACCTACATAACAAATCAGATGTCTCCATGGTGCCACGGACAGTTTGACAAGCGTTTGAGGAGCCGAACTTGACCCCCGAGCACTGTGTGAACAGGACACCAAGTGATCCCCGCTGCTCCCGCGCCTCATTTGAATTGCCAGTGAAGGTAGTTAGTGTTACACATGTGATGATGATAGCAGACTGTACCTCTCTTTCTGGAAAGAGCCCCCACTCCCTCAAGAAAAGGGAGTGGGGGGATGTTAATAATTCAAATGAACACTTGTAATATTGAGGGGCGCCACACGTTTTTGTATTGACGACCAGTTGGTGTCACTTTCTCTCTGGTTAAAGCACCTTTTATCATTTCATTTCTACTGGCTTTGTTTTCAGGCCTCATGCAGTGTGTATGTATGTATGTATGTATGTCAGCATATTCTTCAGATTATCCGCATGAAGGATGATCCTAATTCGTTTGACCTAAAAAAAAAGAAATAGCCTGTGCAGAATAGAGAGTTATGTGAGCATATTTGTGTGTCACAGGTGTAAACCTGCCTTATCAGTGAATGTTTTGTATGGACCTCATTACATCAGTGATCCAATGCGAGTCACAAAAATGCCCTTGTTGCTGTTGTCTCTGTCTTTTAGCTTTTCTGCTAACAAAACCCGAGCAGAAGCACCACTTTTTGACGCTTTAATTGTGAGAGGATCATTTTAGCTCACAAATGGAATGTTCCGTTGTGTTACAGACACTTTCCATTGCCCACACAGAAAAAGACAAACATCCCCATCCGTGCACGATTCCCCTTCGTTGTCATCCCTGAAAGGTATCTTTAGCAGAGAAAGCAAGCCAAAGACCTCTGAATCATCTCTCTCCACAGCAGCAGGTTTATCATCCACAGCCCTTCGGCTTTGCACTATTCTGACTACGGCACCAGAGTCCCGTTCAGCGATTGCAGATGGCTGCGATGTTGCAAACACTTGTGGAAGCAGTAAGTGTCTTAATTTACCAGTTTAAAATGCTTTACATAGTTTTTCCGCCGTATATATTGTGTTTGTGGAACTCAATACTACTTTTGCTGTAAGCTTATCTTACTTTGTCGTGTTTTTACTTTTTATCTCTTATGGCAAAGCCTCTAGAGATTGTTTCCCCTTGCTTTAGGTATCTACAAGTAATTATTATTTATAATAATAATAGCGTTATAATTAGTATTACTATGCACTGGTTTGTTGTCTGCAGTGGGATGAGGATCTGTTCAAAAATATTCAGAATCCTGTTTTAAATTAAACCTGCGCACTTGCAATGGAGTCAGTGCAGGTCACACACCGACATGCTGCGTGGTGTCCAAACCGATGGAGGGAGAGAAAAAGAGTGATACGTGTAGCAGCCACACTCTGTGGTTTCTCTTTACAAAGTAATTAACAGTACATTACTGGCACACATCCATTTAATCGTTTTAAACTCCCAGCGGAAAAGCGTGTAAGCCATAAGAAATCATTGAGAGGGAAGATAGTGGTGGAGCAGAGCGCAGAGTGGGGCGCTATGGATTCTATACCGCCTCTGGTATTCCACGTCGGGTGGGACACTTAATGCCAGCTTTTGCGCAAAACACAACTGCACAATCTCACCCGGAAATAACATAACGACCGGGTTGGTTAGAAGAGGGGAGGGGGAATAAAGTTGGACAACATATTTTCATTCAAGAGCAGAAGAGAATGAGCGCATGTTTTAGTCTAAAGTAACACAGACTACACACTGCGCGTCCTGTTCCAGACTGGATTTAACACCAGTCCATCGTAGGAGTTCTGTTTGCTGACACCTGACGTGTCTTTGGATGGGTGTGTGTGTTTGGGACAAGTGAGCGCCCGTGGATGAACAAAAAACCAACAAACAAACAAAAAACAAAGGGTCCAAAACATGCGCGTGCGTAAAGAGAGACAGGTGAGGTGACGCGCGGTACAACACGGTTCTGTTATTTACCTTGTTTGAGTGGTAATACTCCAACGAGCTCAGGCAACTTGGATCAGTCGGCAGGGAGCATGAACCCACGTTTGCCGGGGGAGCAGGATAAAATCTCACGTCCATCTCAGGTGGTGCGAGACCGAAGGCATGAAATCACTTTCAGCGTCTTTTGACTCGCTTTCGTCTCCGCACGCGCGCACACACACGCACACACAACGCCGAGGCAGGAGAGACAACGAGAACAAACAAGAACAAAAAAAAACAAGAAAAAAAAAAGAGGGGGGGAAGTTTCACTCGGTACACTTCTTTTCACACATCCGTTCGCGGCCGAACTTCGGCACCAACTCTGGTGATGCGCAGTCCTCCTCGGAGCCTCGCGCCGGGATGCGAAACACAAATGTCATAGACACGCGCGCAAGCACGCGCACACACACACACACACGCACACACGCACACAAACACGCGCGGGCGCGCACGTGTTGGCAAAACTATCCCGTTGTTCCACAACAAATAAAAGAAGACAAAAAAAGAGAGAAAAAACTCCAACTTTGATCCTCTCTGTTAAGATAAGAGCAGCGCGTAAACCGTGACGTGCAGCTTTGTGCTCTCCAACTGCTCTCAGGGCTGCGCGCAGGCTTTGTTATGGAGGTGCATATTCTTGCATTGGTTCCAGTGCAGAAGTGGTCGGACTTCCCTCTGCCATGCGACCTCTGGCGATAATAAACGGGAAAGAGGAACGGAGGGAGAAGGGGGAGGGGAGATTGGTGGCTGCCTTGGCAACCGCTCTCCTTTCTGCAACTGCGCGCTTGTGATTAGCTGGAAATGTAGTGGTGTGCACGGCTGTGCATTATAAAGCCCACTCTGCTCCCATCACTGCCTCATAAAGGCTTCCATTTGGGTTATTGTGCCGAGGCGGATGGGAGAATCTCTCAGTAGTTCAAGCATGTTTTTTTCATGTGTTTTTATTTTTCATTTGCAGGACAACAACATGAATATCGACATCTTATACAAAACCTATCACAGCCTAAAGCCTAAGGCGGCGAGCAAAATCCACTTGGATAGGCCTCTCGTTTTACTGTCGTGCCTGTACAAGGGGTTAAAGCAAAAGGGCGCTGACAAACATCTCTTTCTTATTCCAGTCTTTTATAAAGTTAACCAGTGCAAAGTACATTTCATAAGTCATAGTTGTTTTGTCTCCAGTTGTGCTGACATTTTAGCTTTAGTTTAGTTTTCATTAAAATCTACAGCTAAACGCCAAACTACAGCCCTAATATTAATAATATAATAATAATATTAATCAGTGCAGGGCATACAACACTGACAACTCCTTAAATGTGTGCGGGATATAGTATTCCAAGGTGAAATATGTACAAAAGAGTTTAATCATGCATTGCCATATACAGTCGCGCATGTGTGTGGGGAGAAGCTGGGCTTGTGAGAGCCGCCTGTGACAGCTCACTGAATGTGATGGATAGCACACCCTTGCCCTGTGATGTGCATGCACATTTGATGTTGAAATGGCCTATCCGAGGGACCATTGTCTTTCAATCATGTCAAGGCAAAGTACAGAACAGAGCACATTTTCTGCTGCCTGGCGTTATTACTATGCCACAGTTTACAGCACAATCCATACACCCTGCATGCACAGAAGTATATGTGCTTTATCCTCTTCACGGCGTTCTGTTTAAAGATACCCAATTTGGTCTGCTTTTAGGATGCATCTGCATCAAAACTGTGATGCGTCCCCTTTATCGGTCCTAAACCGTGTGGCTGACAGGCTTTCATTAGCTGAACATTGACGTGAATAGAGGAGAATGTAACACCAAGAAGGGTACAATTGTTTTTACACAAACTGTGACAGCAGCATCTGCCCACTGCTGCAGCTCCTATGTTCCCCCCTTCAGAAATGTAAAAAGCTGGTCATTATTTCAGCAGGTCCATTATATTACAGGGCAACCTCTATATTTTACAGTCGGGTCCTTCGCTGCTAGGCACAGCCTGCCACTGTCCCAGGCCCAGCACACGGAGGGTTAACCACATGGCCCAGTGCCATGGCTTCATGGGAATGGAATGTGGAGTGCTGTGTGTGCAGGGCTCCTTTCCCAGCATCCCTCACTGCCCAGGCGCATGCTAATGATGAGCATTATTGAGGCACAATTGATAGGCTAGCAACCAAACAAGAGAAACTAATTACTACTAAGGCTTTATTGTCCTTTAATTACTGAAGCTCTATGGTAATTAGTGCTGCACAAAGACACAGCCCTACTTTAATCTCAAATAAAATGTGACACAGATGAAAAAAGTTGGAAGATGAAAGGTAGATAAGATAATTTGGCTTTCGGTTCATTCTACAGGAAACGATGACTGATTTGAGGAAAGTGTGGGAGGACAAAAGAACTGCTGAGGATTGTGCTAATTTCGACCGAAAATCATCTCATAAGAGAGTCTGCACGTGATACGTCTGTAACCTTGGGTAGCTAAATCAAACATAAAACGGTGAATGCTGATGAATGCTGTCATCAAATGATTTACGACTAAGAACATTGCAGAGTCAAGTTGACTGTTTTGCATCCGCGTGAGGCTCATTTTATTGTACAGACGCATGTCACGGTGTGATGCAACTGAATCATCGATGTTGGCTCCGAACATCCTTTAGACAAACAAAGTTTATTTTTTCCATCATCTAAGGTTTCTAACTGGTTCTGTTTACTTGAACAATATTCTTTCTTTTGTTTCTTAGGAAACAAGCAAAGGGAAAACCTTTATCGGTATCATTGTTTAACTTTACTTTTAAATGTGTGCATCTTTTCCCGTGAGCAGTTCATTTTCTAATTCTTAGAATTAAACAAACTTTTGCATTATTAGAGTCATGTTGCTTTGAGCAGTGGGCGGATGCACAGTCTGCATTCACTTCAAACCTAGAAGTATCACAGCCTTTTTAATCATCATTAGTTCTGATTAATATCTCATTAAAGCAGTTCCAAATCACTGAGTGTTTACTGTATAATGTAGCTTGAAGTTTAAATGTGTGGCTGTAGCGTAAGATTTACGCACTGTAAGGCTTTGACGTAGAATCACGTCAGCAATTTGCTTTCAAATGAATTAAATGAATTCTATTCAACTCTTGTCTATATGTCTATAAATATATACATGACTTTTGGTATTGAAAAAAGAAAAAATAATTTCTTATCATTACAGTTTTTGCACTTGATAACAGATGGCAAACCTTCTCATAAAACAGTTTGGGTTCTTGATGTACGTGACATACACACAGAAGTGAATGTTATACTGTTACACTTGTTTTACTTTCAGAATAATAAATGCATCTGCAGCTGGAAATCCTGCCTAAGGGAAGATATGGGCACATGCAAATCATGCTAAGATTTGCATTATTGTGAAAACTCCTTCTGACTATGTTGCTCTCACTCAATATATTCTGATAACACATGAAGAATGTTTAGTTTATTGTTCATAAAATGTATGAATACATGTATAAGAGTATAGTTAGTATCTTATAATCTAAGGGCTGAGCCCTCCATTTTAAATTAATGATTTAATTACTTTAAGGTATAAATAACCATTACATTGCTTTTAAAAAAGTACCCAGAAAAAAATGTCCCATTGAGTTCTGTTTCCCGTCTGTTGTCCTGTCAGCAATAATGAGCCGTAGAAAAAGACGGCGCGGCATTGGGAGCTAAATTTGTCTGAGGGCCAAGAGACGATTGTCAAAGATTGTATATTGACTGAGAATCAACATTCATGAATCATGTATCATAAGGAAGTATGAATAGTTAACATGATTCTCTTCTGGTGCACATCTTTGGGGGGAGGGACAAACAACAGTTAAGATACGGATTCTGGGATATTTAATTGGCACAAAGACAAAACTGGCCATTTTCCATCTATAGTGCATGTCGTTTTCACAGGGGCCCGCCTCTGCTTCCCTCCCGATTGGAAAGGATGTAATGATCCCATAGTTTCCTAATTGCAGAGGCCATGACCTTGTTTCCTCAGAGGTCAGCTAACATACTTGTTAAGCTTCCGTCCACAGTTATAACATCAGTCAGATACAGTACAGTATGCCTGACAACTTCGGCTCACCGTGAAGATACGTACCAGTGTATTATTTGGCATCACGTTCTCATTGTGTCATCCAACTTGCAAATTACCCTTAAGAATCATTAAGGAAAATCCCATATAGGGCTTCCATGCATCTCGATTCGGTTAAAAAGGTGAGCATACATTTTTTGCCTCTGTATAAAGGGCTGCAGGAAGACAGAGAGCTTTGGGGAAATAGAGAGCAGACTTGTCAGTCGTACCACGTTTCATATAGCACTTCATTTCAAGGAAATTCTAGACTCTTCTAATTGCCCTATTACATTTGAGCCCTCATTTGGGGAAGGATGTAGTGCAGTCTGCAGGAGCTCAGTTCACTGTTTTCACGTCGTTAATAAGGCCTACATTTGCATATGCTGATAATGTCAAGTGAAAGTTTCATTTCTCTAAACATTGTTTAAAAAGTGTTTGTTGTTTGGAAAGCCAGTGTTTGGTGACCAAAACAATTCAATGACCCTAGCCTTAGTCTTTTTTGGATACAGTCGATCACTTGTGTACGATAAGCAATTAGGATTCCTTTTGAGTTCTCAAATTACAGATGTTTTTACAGATACAGAGAAAAGAAAAAATGATGCTAATCTGAATTCAGACATCTTCTTAAAGTGAACCAACAGCAATAATGCACATTAAATACATTTTATTTCCAGTGACTGTGCATTTTTTGCAACTTATTTGGTCGTACGTCAACATTCTATTTTTGTATATTCCCTTGCAGGAGTTGTTCACCTTTACAGCGTCACACAGAACACAGAACATTGAATCCTCAATGTGCAAATCTGTTGCTACCGTATGAGTACTATTCTCTGTAAAAAAAAAAAACCTTCTTCATTTTCACTCTCTGTTGAAGTCAAGACATCAAGACATGTAGATCCCTTTGTAATCTCCATCAGAGTGGTGAAACAATGCTTTTGAGTCTCATGTTCCATCCACTGATTAAATGAAGCATGGTTGATCTTTATCTGGGTTGAAGGATGATGACTTCAGTGGCCTCTATCCAGGTCTTGTAGGCTGTAAAATAAGAAGACAAGCATGATGAATTTATCGGAGGTATTCTGTAAAAGTCTGTATGGTATCAAACCTAGATAAACTGAACGTTTCGTTTAAAGCTTGAGGGATGTTTAAAAAATATTTCATCTAAAAAATAATTTACTTGGCAATGAAGGCATATTACACAAGAACGATCCATTACCTGCTATACTGGATTTTGAACTTGTTTAATATTATAAATATAGTAAATATATTTAATACATTTGTCCAATCAGTTTAGGCACTGGTCACAGTATGTGCACATCCAGCTTTTCAACCAGCAATCTGACCACATCAAAAACAAACAAACCCTTTTTCCATACAGCGTTATGTTTAAACATGTTATCCTTAAAAATATGTTATTTTATTAGTACCCCATTTAGTACCCCGAAGAAGTACATATTACACCCTATCCCTGACTCGGATGCCTATAGGTTGCAAATCTGCATATTTTCCTTCAAATTGTTTTCTTCTGGAATGATACAAGATAAACAAACTTCAGAAGTTCTGTCTTGCTTGGTAATGTTTGTATGCAAAGTCCCCAAACAGTTTTATGCTGAAATACGGAAGAATATACAGAAAGATGAAACATTCAAAAAG